AGTACCTGCCATCCAAAGTGGAAAGGGAAGCACCACAAGAGAGGTGATAGTACTTTCTAGGTAGTTATTCTACCTGAGTAACCTTCCTTAAATGTTAATCTACTAAGTGAGTGTAAGTACAGAAAGGCAGTTGTAGTTATGAACTCATATGCTGAAGTCTTAACCCTCAGTATGACTGGATTTGGTCATAGGTCCTCTGAATTGGTAAGTAAGGCTAAATAGATCATAATGGGATCCAAATTCAGTATGGCTGGTATCCTCATCAGAGGAAGAGAAAAGAAAAATTAAGATGTCTATATTTCCTTCCCTACCACATTTTACACTATGAGCTCGCACATAAGAAAGACCAGGTGGGGACACAAGTGAGAAGATGGTCTTCTTCAAGCGAGGAAGACAGACTTTCCCAGAAACCAACCTCGCTGGCACCTTGATCTAGGACTTCTGGCCTTTAGAACTATCAGAAAAACAAATTTATTTTGGTTAAGCTACCTGATATGTGTACCCTGTGACAGAGCTGCCTAATGCAGTATATTTCTAATTTAAGAAGTAGAATGACAGATAAATCGTGCAATCTTAACACCTACCACCTTCACAAGTCATTTCATCAAATTACAGACCTTTACTGACACAGTTACAGTTGCTTCCAGTTAGAAATACTGTACCTCTGAGAGTGCCTTTTCTTCTAATTTATATTATTATATGAAGACTCTTATCTTCAAATAGCATCTCATACTGTAATTCAAGGGTCAGGACATGTAGACAAATATCTATAATACAAATTAGAAAAGGAAGTGCCAAGAGAGGTAAAAAGTATACAGTATGTTAGTTCAGAAGTGAGATTATTTCTACTATGATGGGGAGGGTACTCTATAGGTAAGAATATGTGGCTGGAGTTGTGAGAAGGAATTAGAAAACCTTGGAAGAGGTGGCATTTGTACTCAACCCAGTCATTCTCAGTAGCACACCACTGGCACTTGGGGCAGACAATTTTTTGTTCTGTGGGTTTATTCAGAGCATTACAAGGAATTCAGCGTCCTTGGCTCCCAGCAGCACTCCATTGTCCTGGTGTATCTGCTTATTAACCAACATGTTTCCAAAAGCTACCCAGAGCAATATATCCTCTAGGAGCGGTAAATATTTAACGATGTATAAAAAACAAATGTGTTCAAATAAATTTTATTAAGTGGCTGATGAAATGGCTAATACATATGATTCCAAAATGCTGCATATGGAAAACTATAATATGGAAATTACAAAAATATTTTAAGTGCTACTTTCCTATTTGAAGTGTTCATTGCATGTATTCAGTTAACCTTCATTTCATTTTGTTTCATTGCTTCACGGATACAGCTCTGAAGGTATTTGACTTCTAGATACCTTTACCTACTCATTACTCATAGGTGGCTTCTGATGTAATCATAAATAAGCAGTGTTTACTTGAGGGGGAAAAAAAGTAAGTAAGTACATCTTCCTTTAGACTTCTGTGAACCTTTAAATGATTTTTTAAAATTTTATTTTAAAGCCTTCCTTAAATGGTGTGTTGTAGTCTGGGTTGACGATTTAAGGAGAAGGGATGGGAAATGGCAAAGACAGAGAATATAAGATGAGTAAAAGGACCCCACAAGACCCTGCTAAAGAGAACCTGTGCACCTGGGGTCCAAACTGAGGCATTCTAATTCTATGGCAGATCAGGTTCTCCAGAAGGCAGACCTCAAGATGGAGTTAGCCTAGAGATGCTTGTTAAAAAGTGCCTCTACAATCAAGAACTGTGAATGAGAGGTCAAGGAGCAGGAGTAGGCACAAGCTGAATTGCCATACAGGATTTATGTCAGCCTCATTTGATTCCCACAGCAGCTCTGGAACTAGATCAGCCCTTTAAAGTCATCCATAACTGGGGTAAAATGGCAGGCTTTTAACCACTGCTTCCCCCAACCCAATATCAGTCAGTTAGTTCACTGACCATGAACAGCTGAGGTGACTGGTGAAGATGCTGATACACAAAGGCTGTGTGCTGTATCAAGTCGTTCACTAAAGGGCATCACAGCATCCACCACAGATTCCAATTTTACAGGTTAATGAAGTGGAACTTTAGGAGAAGAAAGTACTCAGTCACTTATTAACTCTAAATCGATCACTCCTTGTTTCTCACTACTTGTAACAACAACAAGACACCTACTTTGCAATGGACAATGAAGGAAATACTTGGTTCCAGGAATTTTCTTGGATGGGATATACAAAAGAAGTAAGTCCAAACAATTCTAGTCAGCTCTTTATAGGACTGTCTTGTCAAATTCATCTCTACATTAGGAAAAGTGCATTACAGGTCAAATTTTCAGACATCCAAGTTTTGGTTTTATATGGCTTTACATGTGCTCTATAGGACACTCTGCTTCTGCTCTTGTTACATACAGTATATTTATACCTTCATTTTCTAGGTCTTTATTGGAGCTCCCTGGTAGTAATCAGGGTTGACACTAAGTGTGCACTTCATTTATTTAGCAAGCTGAATAATCTTCCTGACTCTTCATTTTCTTTTGTTTCCTTGTTTTGAACAGTGCTAGGGATAGAACCAAGGGCCTTGCACAGGTTAGGCAAGCACTCTACTACTTGATCCATGCCCAAATTTGGTTCTTCATTTTCTAATTTTGCTTGAAAGCAGTTTGATTGGGAATCTAACTTGTTTACCTATATGCATAATAATTATGTTTTTCTATCTGCTCCCCTTCTACACGTTTCAGCTGTAACATCCTTTCCAATCTGCATACTTGCCTCATTCTTTTCACACCTGTTTCTTCTGTCTCAAGCGCTGCGCCTCAGATCATCACACAGCCAATTTATTTTTCTCTCTGAAGCACCGGCACATGGTCATTTCCTCACAGGTCCACATAATCTAAAGGAATCCTGCCCTGTCTAAGCCAAATTCCCTTTATATTAACCAATTTTACCATCCTGGAACAAAAGTACCTCAAATCATCTTTTTTCTCTATTTATCCATTGTTCACTACCTATAGCGTATAGATTGTGTGTGGCAATTAAGTATTCAGTAACTACTCACTTGAAAGAATGGATACAGACAATGAACAAATATTTATGACTCATTATTTTAAATATACATCAGAAACATAATAATTATAAAATTATCTGGGGGGAAAACAAATTCACTCTATAATTTCTAGGAACTTTCAATAATAGAAGGGACTGCTATTCTGTATCTTAATGTCATACATTTTAATAAACAAGCTTTAAAATGTTTGTATACTGAACCTTCCTGAAGGGCACAAAGATGAGCAAGAGCATGTTTCTGTTTCTAAAGAGTATTCACCCCTTTGAGATAATGAAAGTGTATCTGGCAGTATGTAAGGCATATCCGATCCCCTCGGTGGTGAGGCATCTTAAAACAATGTGGAGGATGGATAAGTGGTGCAACTGGTAGAGCATATGCTCAGCAAGCCAAGGCCCTGAGTTCACACCTACCCCAAAAACACCAAAACAAAAGACAAAAACAATGTTAAAGCCACATGTAGTTATACACAGCTGTAAACTCAGCTACACAGGAGACCAAGGCAAGAAGAGCACCATCTGAGGCCTGTGTGGGAAAAGGTACAAGACTCTATCTGAAAATAACTAAAGCAAAAAGGGTTGGAGGTGTGGCGCAAGTGGTAGAGTGCCTGCCTATCAAGTGCAACATCTGAGTTCAAAACCCCAGTACTGTCAAATGCTGAAAATTCTTACAGTAACATCCCAATTTCACATTAAAAATAAGCTTATGATAAAATCTGCATAAGAGAAACAAGAATAAGTAATAATTAGGTCAAAAATAGTATTTTTGCAGAAACATTTATAATTTTTGACTAGCTTTTAAGCGAGGAATAAAGTGTCCCAGAATATTCATTGAGTTCAGAATCCCACTTCTGACAGGGTCAAATGGCAATCTCCTGTGCAATCCTGGCTGAACACTGACTCTAACACCCACATATGGCTATTTCAGTTATCTCAGTCTGTACTTTCCTTCACATTAAAAGGTTTATCTGAATTAGGCACAGCATTAAATTCTTATTTTCAATAGTACCTACTTCAGTTGAAAGTTCCATACAAGTTTTTGTTGTTGTTTTTTGATACTGGGGCTTGAATTCAGGGCCTACACCTTGCTTGAACCACTCCACCACCCCTTTTTTGTGATGGGTTTTTTCAATACAGGGTGTTGCAAACTTTTCGTCTGGGCTGGCTTCCAACCGCGATCCTCCTTATCTTTGCCTCCTGAATAGCTAGGATTACAGGCGTGAGCCCTGTACAGGTTATTTATCTGTATTATTTACCAAAATTCTTTCTAGTATTTCTTTCTATCAACTCTGTAGTTATTTTACAAACTTGGCTCTTGGTAGAAAATACCATGTTTACCCTATCATGTCATTTTTATGTGACTTCAATCTTCTTTACAACACTGTGCTTTGAGATCAAGAAAGAATTATTAGATGCAGGAAACCCTGGATAACAACAGTAGATTTTCTTCCAGAAGACAGAGACACAGCAATAACTAGGATTGATGTCAAAATCATAAAAGCACAAGTAGGCAAGACCTCTTAGTATCTGAAGAAGAACTGATGTAATAAAAGAAAGACATGTTATATATAATGAAGTACACTGGAAATGAGCTTAGATAAATTCTAGAAGCATTTTTAAATGCACTTATCTGGTCAAATTTTAAATAATAACCAATCAATAACTGAAATTAATGTTAGTCTTCCACATTACCAATCATTTTTCCTAGTCTATGTGACATTAAAGTGTAGAACACCTGGGAAAACAAAAAGGGATCCTTGAATGCAGTCAAGAAACTTCAGTAATCATTCTCATACAAAGAATAATTTTTGCTATGTCATAGTCTAAATGATCTCATGTGTCTTTCACATATGATGTTACATTAGGTAAGGTAACAACTCAGGAGGAACAGTCATGTTTTATATTCATATTTTGGTAACCACATAAAATTACAAATGTTTTTCAAATGAAATGTCAAGAAAATTATTTATTTCATTCAAGTGATATTATAACAAGTCCTGGATGGCATTATTACTAGCCTCAAGGAAACAGAACAAGTACAAAGCTAAGTTAAAGGCAACTTTATTACAATATTTTTCCAAACTTCAAAATGCATTTAGTACTGAATTTAGATCTAATATATAATACATTATATTACAAGGCAGAAAGCATTTCTGGTCAGATATTTAACTTCTTTGTATGGCCAAAACATAGCTTCCTAGGAATAGCAGCAACACACAGTAGTTTATAACACTAAGTAAAACATTTCTCTGGTATCTCAGAACCATTTAACTTTCAATTTATCTTGTTTATTTTCTTCCAATTTAAAAATGAAGCAAAGTTATCTTTCTACCCATCTTACTAGTTGACACCTAGAAATTTGCTATACCATAAAACATCCACAAGCTGAGATATATTTCCGTTGGTGGAAAACAGGATTTTGAATCTAGCCAGATTGAGAGATCAATACATTTCCACAAGGCAAACAAGGGCAGAATTCTCTTCTTTCCTTTTTTGTAGGAGCCAAATCAAGGCCTCCCCTGTTCATATAGCCATCCTAAATAATACCTGCTTTAAAAGATACCTAAATCTACAATAAACTCCAATGAAGTCTCTGTTTAATCTTGTCGCCTCATATTTGCTTACCTAAACTAATTTACAATCAACTTTGAACTTTCCCTAATAATGAACTTAAAACTAATCTTGGAAAATGTAATAACATAAAGGAAGTATTTTCCAGATTAGACAAGGACATTATTTGCTCATTTGCCTCTGCTTCAACCAACTAAGCAAATCCAACTTAGGAAAATAATTCCTTTTCCAAGGTTACAACCATAATAACAACGAAAACAGATGTAAATACACTGAACAGATCTAGTCCTTTGTTTTCTTTCTTTGATTTCACATTCATGAGCTACCAACTAGCACAAAACACGTTCATCTTCCTCATTTTCACAATAGGAAATTGTTAGGAAGGTATAGAAAAGGTTCTGTACATTTAGTACAGATTTTTCTAGGAAGGTGAAAAAGAGGAAGTGAAGGAAAAGGTATATGCTGGATGCTTGGGGTGGGGGCAAGACTTCTAAGTCACTGTACATTAAGAGCACGTGCTGAAACTTCATGGTGCCAGTCACGTAACTTTGTGTATTTGGGACTAAAGACGTGAAGGGGTATCTTTTCCCTGTGGAAATAAAAAAAAAAAAGTGATAGAAGAGTCATAAGAAAGAGAAAGAAAAAGATTCTATACTAATTCCAACATGCAGAACACATGCCTTATGAAAGCTTGATTTCACATAGCTGTTATGTTAAATACAAAGAGTTGAAAGGTAGAGCAGTTATAGAAATACAGAAATTAGTCTACAGAGCCCTTGTGGAAACACAAATTTTTATGCCTAAAATAAAGTGAATACAAGACAACACATAAACTCATTCACAGAGATATGTAATGTTAGCACAGCATCCCCAAATATACCCTCTGTCCACTTCTTATTTCAATACTAAAGAGAATATGCCTTAGACATAAAATCCAGATGATATCTACTAATTTGGAAAAAGTTGTACATTTAGGTCACAATAAAGGCATCATGCTTAAATGCTGAGCTTCTATTCACAAAGACAAAATGTAACATTACACTCAAAAATTTGAAAAAACAAATTGAGATCATTCAGAAAGCATTCAATTTACAAAAAGAGAACTTACTTTGCCTTCTTTGTATTGTCAGTTTCAGATTCTTTCACTGAAATACAATAATACCGAATATTAGCTTGCTTTTTAAATTCAAAATCATTTAAGTAATTACCTGTATCAATCAATATCAAATATTAATTTCAAACAATTACTACGAAAAATTCTGTATTATGTTATTATTGGCTATCTGCCACAGTCAGCACTCTCTCTTCCTCCTCTCAATGTAACTCTTTGAACTAATTTAAAAGTAAACTGTTCCAAGGTTGTTTCCTAGCAACTACCAATAAGCCTAAACATTATTCATTGGAGCAAAGAACATTATCCATTAAGATGCCTAAAGTTCACTTACGATGTTCAGTCCCGGTGATCTGAGCAAGGATTCGGAAAGAGCGAGACTGAGTTGTTCCAGTCCTTGGACGCCAGTCTTCAGTGTCCTCAATCAGTCTCTTCTTGCTGGCATCACTGTGAGTGGGTATATGATAAAACTCTGTGTTGCGTTCCACAATGTGTTTTCTTGGAGGGCTAGGGGTAAGAATATATTTAAAAGAATTAAAAAATATAAAATTACATTAAGAGGATAAAATATTCTCGTGAATTATTTATAGTTAATACATTTACTCCTCACTGTTGCTTTTATATAAACAGTTGGCTTACACAAATGTACTTAATTTTTTTTTAAATAGACTAGTCTTTTTTAAATTAGTAAAATAAATCCATTTATTATGTTGATATAAACTAATACTAGAAGAATGTATTCAATAAAAAGATTACCGTTTAGGTGGGATTTTCCTTTTAATTGACAGAAGGCACCAGAAGAAAGATTTCCAACATGAAGAAAAGGAAAAGAAAATAAGGAAAAAAGAAAACTAGAAAAGGGAAAGTCTATAGTGGATCAACAATTTGAAATTACTTGTATAGTTCATCCTATGTCATATGAAACAAAAATATGAACTATGATTTAACCACAGTTAAACATCAATATGCTGCTAGAATGTATTGGCTTTCACAAAATTAAATGATCACATCTTCACAAGATCAGGAACCAAGAATAGTTTAATACAAGCTAAACTAGTAATTCCAAGCATTTTTTTCAAAAGGACCAGAAATGTTATTTTCTACAGTTTTCTCATTTGTGTGTATAGCTATCTTTTATCCTAAATGAAACAGTTGTGCAGAACGAAGAAGATATGTGGGATGTTAGAAACCACTTAGATGTTTATCAAAAAGACCAGGATTGAAATATTGGCTTTATCACCTTTCAGATGTGTGAGCCAATCAAATTGAGTCTCAGTTTTTTTTTTCACTTAAAAAGCAAGAATATCACATACAAAACAGCACTTGTCTGAAGTCTAAATACAACAGTATGTCAAAGAGACATGTTAACTATAGAGTTCAAGAATTTTCAATCTGCTAAGCATTCATTTTTCTATGAATGAAGCATAAATATTAAGGGATTTACAGTGCACACTACTTTAACACTCTGTGATCTACTGAACATAACAAGATATTCCATATTTTTTCCCCTCAAAATAAGATAAATGAGAACTATGCAAGGCCAAAGGTTTAATTTCAGAAGAGAAAAAGGAATGTGAGTCTCGACTAGCAGGCTACTCGAACAAGATCTGAATAGAGAAAGTGCTCTAAATGTGGCCAGATGTGGGTGGCAAGACCTGTTAGGTTTAATTCACTGCTAGAAAAAAATCACAGTGCTGTCAGCTTGACACATGACTACTGTCACTTTAATAGTTACACTACCCAAACTCTCTCACTATACTCTGGTGCTTCTCCTCCATGAAAACTGTGATAGGACTGAAGTTAGTAACACTGGCTTCACAGAGTCAGATGTTTCAAGCATTACATTCTTCACTCAATATGTGAGTTTTATGCAGGTCACTTAACTTCACTAAGTCTTAGTTTTCCCATTTGAGAAATGGGAATTGCATCCTAAAGGTGATTCTATGGAATAAATAAATAGATAATTAATGTAAACTGCTTTTCACAATTACTAATTCACACTAATTATCACCATAATATGTTCTTCTATCATTACTAAAAACTAACGGCACTGTACCACCTAAGACTATGGGTCATCGGTGTATTTATAAAAGAACAGCATCAATATTTGTGCACAAGACAGTAAGGTACACAATAATTGATAGTAACATCTCACAATTCCTGAAGTATCTAGTAGACCGTTACTGATGTAGCTATTTTAAAAATAGACAAAGCATTTTAAAACTATTAAACAGGTGAAGGTTACTTCATAAACACATTATTATTTTGGCAGTAAAATAGCTCTTTATTTTATGTAATTACTTGAAAAAGTTATACTCAGCTAATAAACATCCAGTTTTAAATTCTAGAAATTTATTCTCTGCATAGTTTATTTTTAAATGATAACAATTTCAAGTATACAACTTATTTTTTATCATCTGTAAAACTTTTGTCTATAAAAACACAAAAGAATGGTGTTAAGCTAAGACACTAAGAATTAACAACACGCCCCCATTTAGGTAGCATTTAACCACAACATACTTGCAAAATATGTAACACAATTTATCTTGGTTTGGAGTCTTGGGTTAAGTGATAAGAAGTTTCTAAACATATACATGGAGACTTCTTGTTCTGAAACTGACTCTGATTACGACAGGCAACATTGTCCATAATACTTATCCATCCCCAGAAGTAAGCCGATTAAGTTATTCCACTGCTGAAGGGTGGTGGGTGTTCCAAATATACCGACTGATATATTTGAAATTCTCAAGCATGAAAAATGTATGTTTCCTATGCTCCTTAAAATTTTTGACAGTTCTCATGAGATGATACTAATAAGATTTGCTGGTGGTGGTAAATTTACAGCAAGATGAAAAGGAACAGAAAGACAATTATGAAAATTGCACAACAAACCATTATTTAAGTACTTACACGGTGCCAGGGTTACTGAAGAAGGAATAATACACACAAGAAAGATGTGATAGAGAAGACAGTGATGTTCCCAGGATGATGGAAAACAGAGATGAGGGGTAAAAAAAAAAAAAGAAAAAAATGAAATAGCAAAATTCAAAGCAAAGAATTGAAGTGAGGGTATTAACACAAAAACCATGCTTCAAAATAATCATATAAACATAGACAAATAAAAAATGCACAAATGTTAGTTAAAATTCTGTTAAATTGTTACTAGTAGGACAATTTTACCTGTTTTTAATCCTCAAAATGCTGAAAACTATTTTATATATTAATTAATGCTAGTTCATGTCTCAAGTTACTGAAAACCTAGACCCAGTATTTCTTTTTTTAAATCTAGGTTTTCGTAATATTCATTTTTATTTTAAGTCCAAATCTTATTAAGTTCCTAATAAAAGCAGATAATAAAGTAGTGTGATATAAAATGTAGAAACAGATCAGTTTAGACTCACTTTTAAAATTAAAAAAGAAAGAGAAATCATCCAGTCTCACATCACAGGAATATAACATTAACAGCAAGTGCAAGCTCTTCTTAAGTAACAAATATGTCAATGTGACAGCCAGATGATCTAACTCTAGTGGCGCTGCTCACTTCCCTGTGTCCTGGGCAAGTTGCAGTCTGCAGAAGCCTCTTTTTTCCCCAACAATGAAGTGGGTTGCAATTTTCTTGTCCTTCAGACTTCTTGTAAGGGCTTTTGTTTAACATATTTGAAGACACTTCAGAAACTATACAAACACTGGTTTGTTACTGAAATATATCCCCCAACTACCCAAAAAAGGTGCTTGCAAATGCAACTGTAGTTTACACACATGAATTCACTCACATAGCATCACTCTGACTCTTTCATCATTAATAAAAATAAATGCTAGCTCAATGTACTGGAAATACACACAATCCATGGCAGATGATAGAGTGGCAAGTGCATCAAAATTTGCCTTCAAAAGACCTAGGCTCAAATCTCTATCACTTAAAAGGAGGACGACTGAGAAAATTATGTAATTTCTCTGCACTCAGTTTAAGTGAGAATTAGAACACATAATGTATTTAGAAACACAGCAAAGTGAACAATAATATCTAATAAATTAATGAATCTGAATCATCAATTTAAAAACTATATTCAACTTAATTTTTCCCTTTTTTAAATCAAATTGTTTGTTACACTAGAATCTAGGAGCTGGCCAATTTTTGTCTTTAAGAAGTTATTTTTAAATAGACAGTAAATCATGGTTGGAAGATTCTTGCTTATACACTGCTATGCAGTGTTCCTATGCATATATAAAATGAAGTTATATAATGAGACCGCAATTAGAAAGAAGTTGCTCTAATAATTCAATAGTTAATCTGGGGATATAACCCAAAAAAGATTTTAGTATTTCAAATTCTACTTTATAATGTGATAATAAACTTTTGTACATGCTCAGAATAACTTAATTGATATAAAAGTATTTTAAGTTCTTATCTAATATGATTTTTTAATCTCACTTTAAACTAGACAGTTTAATGTCAATATGTACAGAACACAAAAAGTTTGAATGTCTTGCCTATGCCACCTGAAACATTTAATAAGTTATTATCTCACTTAACTAATTTCAAAAATGTATGGACTTTCTTTCATCTACATATACAACTGTACATATAGAGGTCTAAACCTGCCAGGAACAGTGAATTAAAACTCCCTAGAAAAATCAGAAAATTTCTCAGAGAATTTAATCTAGGAAACGCTGGCTTTTGCTATTAGTTTGGAATCAATTCAGGTTTATACATGCTATTTACTAGAGTGCAAAACTATTATTTCTCTTCTAGCTTTATCTTCGTCTTATAACAGTCTCAATAAGTTACACTCCCCCAAGCATTTCTTCTTTTCAACACAGCAAACCCCACATGTATTTTGACTTACTTAAATACTACTATCTATTACTATAAAGCAATTCGCCACAACACAGCAATGCAAACCAAACGTAATGAAAACACTGTATGTGGTTATTCTAAACTATAGTTCTTTTTGCAAAATGCAGTTTTGCAAAAATTGGGCATTCATGCTGTTTACTCATATATAAATCACCATATTTCCTCTCCAGTAATGTGGATACTAACTTTGTCACATGTGTTTTCTGCAAAGAGAAAAGCATTTTCAAATATTACTAGCACGTCATTATTTTTTTTTCTGTCTGCCAAAGCCAGGTTCTTCAAAGTACCACATAGGAACTGTCTGAAGCAATTTCAGTCCAAATAACTGAAAATAATATAGGACACTAAAAAGACTTACCTCCTGAAAGCAGTGGCACATTATAATGCAAGGACACATGGAAAGGGAAAAGGTAAATCAGTTAACTACTTGAAATAAAATAGTTTCCTTTCTGGTTTGGAGTATGAAATCCCATTCTGTTCTTCGTAGGGTAAGGAGAGTGATATAGAAAACAGCATGCCAAGACTAAATCAATAATTTGTACATGCAGGGTAAAGATTTAAATATGTTAAAGTACCTTAATTACTATTAATTATAAGAAGAAACAAGAATCTAGTATGATTAAGAAATATTCTAAAATTATCAATATAATTTTCAGATTTCCTACTACTAGAGAGGATGTATAGCTAACTAGAGCTTAGTAATGATGCTTAATTAACAAGCTTTTATTTATGCATTATGTTTATTAATCCAATGCAAAGTCTGGTGGGATGTCTATAAAACTGGAAAATTAGATAATCACTTTACATCCCTTAAAAACTAATAGTCTTCCTGGTACTTTGAGGAAAAAGATTTGAGTCATTTAACTTCACATCCTTCTGAACTTTTAAATTTTTGATTATTGGTAGTACTTTTTTGTTAAATAAAAAAGAATAAAAAGCAACTATTCTCAACTGTACAAGTTTTATATTTGCCAACATTGTAAAAGTCCAGGAAATAAAACAGTAAAATGTTTGACAGAAAAACAGTCTGACACCTGATGCAGAAAAAGGGTTTGTAAGTATCTCAAAACACCTGCTCGGCAAGAGGACAGATATGACTTATTTTTAATTTCTCTAATCTAAATATAGTGTGAGAAAAATATTACAAATTTGTTTTACAATTTGATAGACACCATACTTTATTTTCAGAATAATTATGCTTTCATTGTCCTAACATCTGGACACCATTTGAAATCAAGCTATTTTTAAATATATCCAGTTTGCAAGTACAAAGCAGTAACTTGCTTCTTAATGATGCAAAACATGTAACAAACCCTTTTCTCTTAAAATTTTGCACAGTGCTGAATACCAGGCATGTGCTTAATAAACACTTGTAGACTGATTAAGAAGCCACCACAAAGGCCCTGAAACTATAGCACCGTCTAGTTTCAGCTTGAAAATAGGTTTTAAATCAATTCAAGTTTAATCAAAAAGCTGTGCTTATAAAACACAAATTTTAAGCTTACTTGAAATCCAGTACTTGCCCATAATATCAATTTGCTTTTACCTGTACAATTTTCCACTAGTAAGACTTTCTTACAAAATTTCAAGAAACATTAGAATAGATTTTAGTTAAGACACTAAGACTTCAGTAGACTGTTTTTCTACTGAAACTAGAATTTAATAAATAGCAAACTCTGTCTCAGTTTACTGTGGAGTTAGCATTTAATAGGCAGCATCTTTTCTGGTTACTGACTTTGATTACTTTAAAATTGCCTTAAAATAGACATACAGAACATAAACTTACAACCAAACACACCTCAACAATACATAGCGTTTCTCTTCCTCACATGAAAGAAGAAATAACATTCTTTGAAGGACACTAGTTTTCCTCAACATACATAGCAAAACTCTAAAAAGCTTCCCACAGCCACAAAGCCCTGGGCACAGCCCAGTAGCTGTTCCTCCAGAGCTCCTGCTGTGCCCAGCAGCAGCCTGGAACCCTGCCACCCTCCCTTTCAAAGCCCCAAAGTTGCCATGGCAGCAGGGCTACAGCAAGCACAGCCTCTTCACTATTTGAATTAGCATTCGGAAGAGATTATATCTCACAGAAACTATCCTCACAATTATTTTAATGATATTTTCCTGGAGACTGGTATTGATAAGAACCATCAAATGTACAGATTATTTCCTTAACAGTACATTTTTGTCACAATAAATCTAATCAAAGTGATTTTACATAAATGACTTTGCCTTGAAGTATCTTCAGTGAATTCCACAATACACAAAATGACTGTCTATAAATGAAGGTTGTGGAAAACATATATATAATCTTAGAACTGTCTGGCTCAAATAAGTTAATTTTAGAAAAATTGGATTTTTTATTATTACTGACTTCTTTTAAAGAATAAATTCTAGCTTAAAGTTTATCTGAAAAGAATGTTACCTCTCTGCTCTAAGCTAATGCTTCATACACAGACATAGTCAAAAAGTTGATTAACTTTTTTTCCTGTTTTTTAGACTAGTTCCTTGAGGAGAAAAAAAAACTTCTCCTTAGGGTCACATACATAAGCTCAGAGCAACTACAGTCAAACTGTTTAAGCTTTTCATGGTCAATAAAAGAATGGAAAATTTGAGTAACAGTGATCCAAGATTTGCCTTGCATTATAAGTGCCAGCTGCTCAAAGTTGTGCCATGATTTGGAGGAAAAGAGTGACAAGAGTATGTTACATGGCTCAGAACACATCAAAATGCGTTATTAGGTTTTGATTAACCTGTAACTGCTTTGTAGAAAGCATACAGTGTATATAACATAAAGGCCACTGTTAATGAAGCAAGTATAACTTCACCTTTCTTCAAAAAACAGCTGATTGGAGGGGATGTGGATTAAGTGTTTCCTGGAAATTACCTGAAAAAAGACTTTTGGTGAAAGCAGAAAGCACCCTTGGCCACCTACCCATTTTGCTGTTTACTGTCACCCTGGGATCCTCTTCTCTGTCCCTCTGCTATCTCCTGAGCAGTCTCGGAACACACGCTGGTGACTGTGGGCTGCCGTGGGACATTAACTGCAGTTTTACCAGCGCTCAGTGCAGGTGAACACTGGTCAGCACTAAGATTGGCATTAACATGCAGTCCAGATGCAGAGAATGGGGGAGGAGTGGCAGCAGCCACAGGTGAAAGGGAAGCATGTGATGAAGTGGTTGCATGGGCTGGGGTGAAGGCAGACGATGGTGATGGGATGGATGTGACTTTTGGTGAAGACACAGAACCAAAGGGCCGTGGTGCCTTATTGTAGGCCATGTTGGTTGTGGAAGTGACTTTGGACACAGCAGGAGATGTAATGGGCACAGGTTTAACTACTTCTTTAGGTTCTCCCTATGTGAAATAAAAATAAACACACACAAAAACATACCAAATACATGCAAAATATGTTCATTGAAAACACACAGCTGATTTTAAAAAGACAAAAAACAGTCAGGTTGGATGCTCAAATGTCACATTTACAAGAAAAACAATGGGTTGATGCAGCATATCATGCGTGCTAACTTGTCCCAACATGCACAACACAGATGCACACAATAAGCATATTTTCATTTACAAAAATGAAAAAAGTTTCAAAACTTTTAGGAAACAGAGCAGGAAAACCATCAGAAAGCCTGAAGGCCATCATAAGTATCAATTTAGATATATTCTAAAGGAAAACTTTTTAAATATCCCACAATAAACAAAATATTGCTAACTGAAACATTTTTATTTTAAAATATCAACAATCAATTATAACTCCATCTTTCAAACATGTTGAATTTTTCTCCACAGTGCAATTACTTGATTCATGCAGAAGCAGAAACACATTTTAAACTCTTCAATTAAAAACAAGGGGAGGAATAAGATAATTTTCATCTAACTCAGAAATATGCACTTTATAGGTATTTTGAATCAAGAATTTTTTAAAAACCTAAACCTTTAAAACAAACTGAACAGGATAAAAACAATTTTTTTTCTCCCTGAATGTTCTAAGATATGACTCACAGAGATAGAATAAAATTCTTTCCCTTTTCCAAAATAAATATTTAACAGTCTTATGAGGAAAACATCGATCTTAGATATTTCCTTATTGGCAGCAGCCAAAGGAAAAAATAGTAAGAAGGATCAATTGCTCCTAAAATTACCAGAATGTTTATAATACTCATTCCAAAGCATATCCAAAGCTTTTTAAAAATCAAATTAAGCCTTTATGATACTCAAGAACAAATCCCTACTCACCTTATCATCCCAAAAGAAAAAGTAATCAAATTTTTAAGAAAATATACAATCATAATTCTTGTCATACTCAATTTTAACAAGGTAATTTAATCTTAGGAATAAAAAAAAAACTAATTGAGAAAGATAAGTAGCTAAATGCCTAGGCAAATCAATCAATAAATAAATTTAATGACTCACCAAAAATAATAGGATTAAAAACATGAAAAGGGAAAAAAAAAAGGGGGGGCGGCTGGAGGAGTGGCTCAAGTGGTAAAGCACCTGCCTGGCAAGTGTGAGGTACTGAGTCCAAGCCCCAGTACCACCAAAAAAGAAATAAAAAATAAAAAACTGAAAAGGAATAAGTCATATGTATATGAATAATGAACTCAAACTGAGGAGATTAAAAAAATAGGGTAGTTTGCCAATGACCTAAGCCAAGAATTATATCATAAATATAATTCTTGAATGCTATTAAAGTCCTCTGTGATATTTATTTTGGGTAACTATCTATTTATTCTTTTTAGAAAATCTACAAAGGTACAAAAATTAATACTAAAACTTAAAAATAAAAATGTTTTATAATATAACTTCATATGGCAATTCTGCATATGTTGATTTCCATTTTCCTCTTCATTTTTTAAGGAAAAAAATCATGAACAAAAACTATATTGCAGCTATAAATTAAATGTCACTATAGCTTGAGACAGAAACAAATCACAGTGGCTCAAAAGGACAATTAAATGGTAAGCAAATGATGCTAGATGAGAAACGCACCTTTTGAACAGGAACTGGCTCAGGCTTGGACATAGCCGATGCTCTAGAGGTGGGGGAGAGAAATGGAAAAATCCATGAAGTATTGCAAACTTACAAACTTCAGGCTTAATGGAAGTTTTCCTATTGTGTACCTTAATATGCTAAACCATCCGGATTTACACTGTTCATAGTTTTGACTATTCACCATCTTCTAATTAGTTCATGCTAAGTCAATAGTGGCAAGATCTAATATCCTTACACACTAGGTATTCATTAGTAGTCTCTGGCTCCCTACAAACTCAAAAGGAAAGACAAACACTAATCCTGATTTCCTAATCCTTGAGAGGGTCTTCAGACATCTAACCTAAATCTAATCTCTAGTAGTATCTGCCCTTTTCCCTAATATCCATGGACATGTCCACAGAGTGTTGGGACTCTCTGTGAAGGTAATGAATGTATTCTGGTTGAACTGAGCAATCTCTTTTGCATTTATGTCCTTAAAAGCTATGCAAGTTAATGTATTTGCTATACTAAAAAGTAAACAGTACATTTTTCCATTAGGTCCTATTTTCAGTAAAGGCACTGACCATGTATCATCTGTATCTGTATCTTAGCACATTACTTAGCATGTAACAGGTCATCAGTAATAAACATAGAATGGGGAGAATAAGGAAATCCATATAAAAATCCATGCATACAACTTGACCACTTATAAATTCAAGTGAATTTATTCAATGTTAAAGTGAATGCCATTTTTTAATATTCCAGAAGCAATGTGATTTCTCTCATATCGTACCAGGTCAAGAATAAGAAATCAAGTGCAGAATTCAAGAAATACAAGCCCAGTAGGTAATTTTATTCTATAAAATGAGTTGTTTTACTTATAAAGACAACAGATCACAGATAGAAGACAGTGCCACAGGATATTGGGTCTCTATGAGCATAACCTAGTAATGAACCCTGATCAACGTTATAAGCAGCAACTGAATTTTCCAATAACAACTGCAGTTGGCTATGGCAGGCATGGACTGAACAACTGGCTAACCTAATGAAAGGCCACAACAGATGCTAACATTTGGTTACTGTAGTACAGGTTATACCCTGTGCAGTTGCATAACTTTCCATGTGTACTCTCAAACTGGCAATTTCCCTTTGAGCTTATAGAGTTATTATGACAAAGAAAAAGTTCAAATACCTAACAGTGGAAGCTTCCTTTCATTGAAATTTCACAAAAAATGTAATCATAAAGGATCTAATCATTAAAACCACCCAAGACATTATTGAAAGCTTGCCAGTAAAGAAGCCAGTATCCTTTTTCATCTGGACACTTTAGCACACATGGAGCATTTTTAGCAACATAAAAAAATTATAAAAAGAAAAAGAACAGGAATGTAAAACAAGTCCTGTCTGGAGGGTTGGTACCAGTAAGAGGAGGGAGGATATAAGGAAAGGGTATAGGAGAGTGACTGTAGTGGAAATATTATGTACTCATGTATGAAAATGGAAAAATAAGGCATGCTGAAAATATTACAGGAGGAGGGATAAAGGAGAATGATGGAGGGGGTGAAATCAACTATGATATAAACAAAAATACTTAACAATTACTAAAGTTACCAAACTAAGATTCAAATACATATATTCTATGTCTATGTCTATGTTGTTTTTTACTGGTGTTAGTTCTAATTTACACAGTGTTATGGCAAGGAATGTAGTTCCCTGGTAGAGTGTTTGCCTAGTGTGTGCAAAGCTCTGGGGTTTGAGCTACAGCATCATTAAAAAAAAAAAATCCATATATACACAAATAGTGTTACCAGCAACAAAACCCCAGAACAGTTAGTTTTCGTTAATTTTAGAATTCAACTTACTTTACTGAGAATACTGAGAATATACAGAATAACATACTTTATTAACTCAAAGTTCTATAAAAACTATTTGAAACATTGAATTTACAGAAAAAGTTTAAATATGAAATTTGAATATGTGTCCATTTTGCCTTCTGACAAAGTCTCAAAAGGGCAATGACATGAATTAAGAAAAGTAGTCAGCAAGTACCCAGGCCTTCTGGGAACAGCTGGGGAAAGAGCCACTGGAGAAGGAGTAGCCTGTGGCCTTAGGACTCTGCATAAGATGGGTAAGCTAGGAGCTGCAGGGACTGCACTCCATACCTTGCACTCACAGAGGACAAGTTTTCTAATAGCTCTGAAGCTCTTCTGAGAATGGCAGATGAGTTTGGAGTCTGGGATCTACCCAGAGTGCCTAAAATACATGGCCGTAATGTTGGAGGGGGTGAGGGGTTGATACTTCTTCCACAGGAGGGACTTCTATTACCTATTTTGATCTCGTATTTGTCTTCTCTTTTCCCTCATTTTTTTGATTTCCTGAAAACATGATATGTATGAGAGGTACTAAAAAAAAATCTACCAACTGCTATGTATTTTTGTGAGTTACCATCTAAATGTTTTCATTAAGTTCTAAAAAGTTTGCAACAAGTGAGTCAAATATGTAATATTATAAGATGAGATGATGGATAGCCATTAGATTAAATGTAATATTAGCTGATAAAATAAACAAGTCACCACTCTCCTACTGAATAAAACATATCAAACTCTTTAAAAAAAGATAAGTAGTCAGGGAAAAGAATGGCAACATGTGTTCAAAATTCCACAGTAGAATCCATTACAAAAATATATTTTTGTAGGGAAAAAAGTAGATTGGCTTGCAATTAAATGTCATATAAAATAGTTGATACTAGATGCAATAAAAATTCTTTCTGTTGGGTTTTTGTCTGGTGGTACTGTGGTTTGCTCTGGTTATTTCAGAAACACAGTCTTGCTCTTTGCCCAAGACAGCCAGAACCTTCATCATCCTCTTTTAAGCTTCAGCTTGTGACTGGGATGATAGGTACACACCACTATGCCCAGCTTTTTTTCCATTGACAAGAAGTCTTGCAAACTTTTTGCCCAGGCTGGCCTCAAACTGTGATCCTCCTGATCTCAGCCTCCCATGTAGCTTAGTATGATAGGCATTTACCACTGCTCCCAGCTACTGGTTGAGAAAGGGTCTTGCTAAAATTTGCCTGGGCTGACCTTGAACCATGATCCTCCTGATCTCAGCCTCCCAAGTAGCTAGGATTACAAGTATCAGTCACCAGTATCCTTATTTTTTTTTGTGGGGAGGGAAGGTAGGGGATCATACTGTGGTTTGAACTCAGGGCTTCATGCTTATAAGGCAGGAGCTCTACTGCTTGAGACATGCCTCCAGCCCTTAAAGATTAAAAAAAAGAAAAACTATGTAAAGTCTGAAATGTTTACTTAAGTCTCCCACGAATAGCTAAAATCAAGGGAAAGAAATATTGCAGTTCTTAAAATTCTAATTTGCTTATATGAATTATCTTTCTTATTGAAATAGTGCTTTCTTGAACTTTGTTTTTAATAAGATATTCAGAGACTATTAGCATAATTTAATCAACGTTTAAAGAAGATTCTGTTTCTCTCATCAAAGTAGAATATATCTATTTTCAATATTCCCTAGGGAGAAAAAAACCCTAACATATAAAGGAAAAGCATTTATCAAAATTAAATTTACTACAGTTATCTTTCTTACCTTTAGACAAATACTGAGCATTTTCTCTTAGCAATGTCACAGATTATGTGAAAAATAGGAATTTTTAAAAATATTTTTAAATAAATGAATAGTTAAAACAAGTATAATTATAAAAAAGTTCCTTTTTTCTCTTTAAATCACAATATGATATGACTGCCTTTGAATTGCAGTAGCCATCAAGTCACTGTGTGCAAAGTGTGAGTTTCAACCCAGTAGAGATCCTAGCAATCAATGGCTTAGTGCCATGGGCTCAACAATTTGCTTATTGTTCTCCCTCCTCTTAGTGAGAAGCCCTGCACAGGAGTAAGCCATGATGCTGAGACACCACTGCCTGAGCTCATGATTATCCCCAGTGTGTGGAGTTCAAAGAACAAAGCTATCAGTGTGCCTATAGCAATCTGTTCAAAGTTGTTTTTTTATAAAACCAGTGTCCAAAATAAAAATCCCTGATGCATTACAAGCAGTTTCAGAAGTTCTAGTGAACAGTCAAAAGGAACTCTGAGTTATAACAGATTAAAAACTAGAATTATGACATCTTAGTTGGAATAATAAAACAGCAATAGGTCTATCATAGATTAACTTCAAAAAAAAATAAAGCAAACTGCAACTTACAAACGGGGCTATAGTTAAATCATTCTTTTAGCTAATTAATGCACTTTTCTAACATTGTTTTATAAAACATCTTTAAGTCAATAAAGTAGTGTTTTAAGAATTAGGAATTAGGCAACAGAAACAGGCTGATAAAGATTATTGACATTGCTCAGTATGTATTGATGACGCTTTTAACCCTATTTAATAATATATTTAACTCAGAAACAATCCTACAGAAAAGAGAAGCTTCGGTTCATCTCTTATGAGACGAGCTCTGTTTCCCACAGCATGGGTATCTGAGGAGCCACAGATCTTGGGACCCATAAACAGTAGGGAACATTGTTAATCACTTTAATTGCAAAGTTGTCAATTTGCAATAACAAAGGAACCCCAAGGGGAAAAAGAGTGAGCACTGAAGAGTGCAGAGGGATGTCTCTTTAACCAGTTCTCCCATACTTGGGTACACTTTCACTCCTTTACTGTCAAAAAAAACCTCAAGTCTTAAACATTTTGATCACTTGTAGCAATGTTTCAGTGGTTTTTTTTTTCCCCCTAAATGATTTGGGAATGTGTAAATATTATTGTATTTCCTATAAAGGAAAATACACAACAGTTAAGTATCTACACATTATCAAAGACTGTACTCACCAAATATACATGTATTCACATACATACTCTCATTCTCTCCCTCTTTGCATCTTCTCTTACCATAGGAAATAATAAAGCAAAGTAATTTTTTCCCAGAGAGAAGAAGAAATAACCCAAAGTTGGAAAGACTTTTTGAAGAGTGGGAAAAAGATGACAGAAGCAGAACTATTTTAACCCATGTGTGTAGCTGGGGCCGCCCCTGCTGGGCTTTAAAACCGGTGT